CGGCTGTGTCAGCTGCAGAGAACAACCGCGTTGGTTCAGGGGAGCTGGGCTCTGGGCCAGCACTTCAGCAAACCCCAAACCATGCACACAGGTTCGGCACAGCTGGAGATGAAAACAGATTGCTACTGCAGCTGGTTTGGGCATCATTGGCCTCCATTAGGGCAATGCATCGCTGCTCTGGGAACCCAGCCAGGCCCATGATTTTCTCATCTCATTTACTAGACTAGTTCAGTTTTTATGCCAGCTGTGAAGAGCCCCTGTGCCCAGTTGTACCAAAGATGAAGCTGCTAAAAAGCAAGATCAGCGTGAATCTCCAGTGCAAACCGCTCTGGGCTCAGAAACAGTAACAGCTTTGTAGTGCAAACATGAATTCCACTAGAGGAGGGAGGGGCAAAGGTGAAGCTCATGGAGAACACCAGACTTAGCCCAAGCAGGAAACCAGCCCCTTGTACACATGCAGGGGTGCCAGGCTCACATCCTGCCATCCATCCCCAAGGAACTTACCTTCCCGAGGGTAAACTAGGGACCACATACACTATGGTCCTCTTGCAGTTGCTTGGACTGGAACACTGGCCAGGTGATGCTGGGCAGAGGACTCCTCATGTGCTTCTCCTGCATTGGTCACCGTTCAAGTACTTGAAGATGATCCAATATGACTCACCTCTCTCTACACTGCTGTGAGCTCAAGGCTGGTACTCCTTCATAAATAGAAATATGGACCTAGGAATTAACACGTCTTCTCCAGGGAGCTGATCATTCTAGGGAACTTTATTTAAAGTACTTCTGGAAAACAGCCTGCAGTATGTCAGCTGGGACATTCCAGACAAATAAAGAAGCACTGACCAGCAGGAGAGCTGGGTTCAAACAAACCGCTTGATGCCACACAGCAGGCAGGGGGGGAGGGGAAAAAAAAAAGCAGGGGAAAAAAGAAGTCAGTCTTCCAGGAAAGTCTCTAATGGGTTCTACTAAGACAAACTCAGCTCCTCCACACTAATTATATGCTTCATTTATTTCCAGTTCCTTAAAAAAAGCTAGGCAATAGCCCTAGACATTCACCTTGATTACAGCATTTTAATCCATACTGAGGGCAAGTTCACCCTTCACAATGACTGAAGCAAGTGGCTCTTGGGACAGGGCAAAGCACGGCCACAGCTGCACGCAGAAGAGGTAGGACATACAACTTCAGCCTGCCCAGGCAAATTTTAAGTATCATTCTGCTTTCTGAAAGCAAAATAAACCTAATTCATAGTCAAATGTGGCAGCCACTTTTCATGTCATTTGCGTGCAATCCAATGCTGATAACCAACACGCTCCCTGAGTTTGCTTTGCATATAAAAAATAAACCCACCTTGAGACCTCATGCTGTCACAGGTAATTTACTGGAGCTGGCTCTCCCACAGGTCACTGCAAAACGTATCTTGAGTCGAGGAACTGATAAACAGCACAGCTGTGGATGTTGAGACTCAGTGTGAACCAACACAAGAGGAGGATTAGGCCTGTCTTGCTGAGGAGTGCAACAGATGTTTGCTGACAGCCAAGGAACAGCAATGAAGACCTCACTCCAGGCACAGGGTTGTTCTGCTCAGGACCAGCCCTGCTCCCTCCCCAGCCAAACCGGATTCCTTCCCACCCCTAAGCCTGCATCTCAGGAGGAGATGGTCAGTTCATTACTCAATTACAGGCTGGGAGGCCAGGAATTTGATCCAGGCTTCCCAAAGGTTCCTTCCCAATCTCAGCTCACCTAAAAATTTGCACACAACAACCAAGATCTCCAGCACCCACCCTCTTTTTTCTCCCCACCTCTTGTTCATCACACCCTTGGTCCCTGCTGCCCATTTTTCTCCTTACAAGCTCTCAAGGCCCAGTGCTTCTTCACCTTTGGCTTTTCACTACTGTCCATAAATCAGCTCATGCTCTTTCCACAATGCTTCACCCAGGCCAGTTTGTTCCTTTTCCCTTGCTTGTCTGTTACCCCAGGCACACAACCTGCTGTGGTAAGAGACAGCAAGGATGGGGACAGTACACACACCATCTGCTCTAAAGCCTGCAAGACCAGGAACTAGAAAACTGAGTCACTGAAAATTAGTGTCTCTAAACATGCAAAAGTAGGTAACCTTTGAAATTATAGCCAGCCTACATTCAGACAGAGGCTTAGGAGATGGACAGAAGGTCTGACAAGGGCTAAGCAGCCCCAAGACCATCCTGCCTGCCCTCATTCTACAGATAAGGTTCGGCTAAGCTTTCCAAAACAAAATGACCTAGCAGTAACACCAATCCCACCTTGTCCTCAAGTTACTTTTAAAACATGGCAGATGTCAAAAACAAGCAGTCATGGGAGAGGACAAAGTTTGTCCTATGCTCTTTATTCTCTGCGAGTTCAGAATAATCATATGCCCAATGAATTCTTATGATGAGCAACTTCATGAAGTGGTGGCACCAGGTACACCTAACACCACCTCCTTTCCCCACACCACTATCTGTCCCATACTACGACTGGCAACAGCAGTGGGCCATCAAATAAAAGCCTAGACTCTGGAAAAACAAATTTCCCTTGGGATTAGCACTGAGTCAGCACAGTCCATGGACACTTGTGCCTGCTGTGATGTTTATATATGTTAAACAGTACTGAAACCTTACAGCAAAACCAGGCACCAACTTAATGTGAATTACAGACAGAATTATTTGCAGAACTAATGCTTCAGTCACACAAACTCCCACCACCCACTGGCTTTTGCTCGAGGAGGCACAGAGCAAGCATCAGTTGAACTGTATGTAAGCAGGCCTCTAGGCACCAGTTTAGCTGCTGCACCAGCAGAAGCCTTTTATCTAGGAAGTGTTTGCCTGTGAGCATTGGGAAGGAACAAAAGGAGAGCAACTCCCTCAAGCTTCACACAGAGCATGGAAAGACCCAAATTAGACAATACTCAATTTGGTTCTTTTATTAGCAGAAGTTAAGAATACAGCAAGTAATAAGATCCCATCTTATATGGAACCATCACCAGAGACCCCGACCATCAAAACCCCAGAATGTGCTTCATTGCTTTCAACAGTAAGCAATTTTTAAAAAGAAATATACTGAACAAGGCCACTATTTAATGGGGAAGGAAAGAAGCTGTAGGTCCTAACTATTCTATGGCAATAACCTGCACACAGAGCAAGCAAGCCTCTGACTGCTGAGAGTAAGGCATTCAGGTGCCAACCTGGGAAGAGTTCTCAGCAAGAGCTACAGAAAAGTGCACAGCTAAGTTGTTTTTATTGGAACACAAACTTCTTGAAAGGAGAGACTGACTGGGTTAAGAATAGCAGGTGGAGTACTGTGTTTCTGTAATAGTTCTGTGCTGTGTAGGACCAGGTTACAATCACCCTTTGAGGAGTGAACATGGGATGATCCAGGATGGAGACTGCCACTCCTGCTGGTGCTGTTACAGAGGTATCCAAAGCACCTTACAGACAGCTCTGATTCTGATATGTACCATGGTTTTCTCAGACACCAGTATACTTCTTGCCAGGCAACTCTGCATCTTTGTATGGGATGCCAGTGCTATTAGCCCTTACATCCAAGTTAATACTGCTCTTTACTTCATTTTAGAACCACACAGACCTGTGATAACCTCTTCTGGCCCTATAGGCATCCAATGAAGTGATCCTACTGAGAACATGTCCCTCTAAGCTCACAGACTCTGCTGCAGCACCTCTTTCTGCAGCTGACCTTGCTCTCAGAGACTTCACAAAGATTCCATTTGAGGGGTGAAGCCTTAATATCCTGCCAACTTTTGGAAGGCATTCTGCTTCTACTTGACTCCATTAGGCAAAGTAACTCCCCAAAACATACTCCATGATATCCAGAGCATGGCAGATCTTTGCAATCCACATTTTTCTCTTGAAGGATGAACTTGCAGGAGTCTTGAAAAAAATAAAAAGAAAAAAAAAAAAAAAAAAAAAAAAAAGGAAAAACCACCACAACAAAAACCCACCCTTTACCTTCCTTCCTCGTGAAATACAGCATTTTATGAGCTGTTTAACTCATCTATGAGAGGTAATTGCTCTGAATTTCCAACTAAACACTCCAAGCAATACCTGTGCCATAATAAACAAAACATTCAAGTTTCATCTTACGACTCCAAAGATACTCCTTCAGTCTGGCTTCTGACTGGGCTCCAAAGATCAAGCTACATCAATTACACAAGAGAAGGTTATATGCCTCCCCTTATACAGGAGGTGCGTCTGCTCCACAGCAATCCAACTGAACTCTCAGGTTTAAGAAATACCAGCAGTCCCATTGCTAAAGCACAGATGGGAAGCAGACTTAAGGAAAAAAAAATAAAAATGGAACTGCATTGGGCCAATTGTGGATTTTTCCTCTTAAAAAGAAAACCCTGCAACCTCCCTTGGCATGCTGAGCCTGACACATGAGAAGGTAATGTGCTTGAGGCCTGCAGTAGCTGTTAACTCCAAGCCCTGGAGCATACAGCTTCCTCTTTCCAGTCCATCTTAACCCCATCTCTGTTTCCTCTCACGTGCTCTGCTATCTCTTGACAACTGCATTACCATCATTTGTTCAGACAAAACAGGGCAGGCCCACAAATGGCAACCATCTACTCAGTGGTAGCCTTTGGGAACAGGCAGGCACTGATGGAGTCGGACTGTTTGCCATTCCATGTGCAGTTTTCTCATCACGATCCAATTCATATGATGAGAACCAAACCAACTAACTGTAAGATCCACTATCCAGAACCATACAGGCAAGCCACACAAGCTTGGAAGGCAGCTGTCCCACATACACTTAGGCAGGGTGCAGATGTATCTTTCAAGTTACTTGAGTAAATAAACTTGTTAACACTGTGACCTGGACGACAACATGATTAATCCAGCCTTCACAACCCTTGTGTACACCCACTGAAGCTACTCCAAGCACTGGCCAGGACCCCACATTGCCCAGGGCATGCTGGCCACCAGGAAGATCTGCAGGACCAACATGCTTCACTCCTGGGAATTTTACCTGGTCCTCCTGCAATTGTTTATTTTGTGCAAAATTGAAACAGTGTGTGGTACTTGCATGTTGCATTCTTTACAAAAACCCTTTTCCCCCCACCCTTTGTTTAAAACATTTATATAAATTTTATTTAAACAGAAAGTTAGAAATCTTATTTACAATTTTTTTTTTCTCCCAAAAGAGCATCTAAAATCAACTCCCAAACCCTCCAAGAGGATATAAATTTAACCTCTTTTTTTTTTTTTCTTTTTTAAAAAAAAGGAAACTGCTAAGCTATCCCTCCCCAGTTCTACAAATAAATATGGCATTGAACAGAAGCCGATTTGGAAAGGGTCCTCTGTAGCTCAATCTGTAGATCCCAAGAATAAATTAGGGTTTCAGAATTTCCTGGTCTTCAAATTGATTCATTCCATTGCTTGAGGTATAGAATTTATCTTGGTTAGTCAGAATCCCCGTGAAGCTCCATGCTCTATCAGCTGAAACTTGGATTCTTCTTAGGTATTCGTTTTGCTAGCCTGTATGCTCCAGCCGCGCTCGCGGCCCTCTTTTGGTTACGGTCTTGGGCTGAAGGCTGGTTCTACTGCATCCCATCTTCCTCTGTGCAGCCTCCTCCCACCATGAAGCGGAACTCCTGGAGGTTGGAAACCCCATGGAAGTGCACGAAAGCACCAGCCACTACAAAGACGTGAAACAGCTGATGGGAGTGAAACTGCAGGAAAGAAAACACTGCTGTTCAGCCAGGGTACTTTGGGTTCTGGTGATTCCCTGTCTCTAAAAAGCCACAGCTGAAGTTCACAGTAACACGTAGCAGTACTACAAGCTGTGAAGTTCTCTGTGTTGTGTTTTAAAAGCCCATCCCTCCCCTATCATAAGCAAAATAATCAAATTCTCCACACACACATCCCACACACCCTCCCCTTTAGTCATCTTAACCAGCTGGTCAATGAACAAATAGGCTACATAAATGTCACAGTTCATCTTTGTGAAGGGACAAGGGTAATTCACAGTTTTGGGCAAAAGGTTTAAGCAGAACACTTATTAAATTAGTTCCTCCAAAACACACACCAATGTTTTATTAATAAAAAGGGCTGTGTCATTCAGCCAACAGGTATAAACTTTGCTCTGGCCACAGGCAAAAATTTTACCAGGCAGATTTTCAGAACGTTGTAATTTTACCTACACAGAAACAGAACAACAAAAAAATAAACTATTCTATTCTATGAAAACATGGAAACAACCAGATGTTCCAAACGACTGCCCAGGATGCTACTGATTATAGCACAGCTGAATGAAAACCATGAGGGAGCTCCATGACAAAGCATGCTCTTGTTTGAGGGAAGCCATACCAACATGGACAATGCTCTTGAAAAACTTGTACAAACGTGCATTTGCAGGCTCCTCAGGAAGCTTGGAAAAAGAGTTGGTGGTACACCAGTGCTCTTGGAGCCTAGCTCATTATTGTTAACAAGGCTTTGGCCACTTCAACAAACTTTAACTATTGCTGTGCAAAAGACACTCAAACAACCCAGGTTTCATTCTCACTTCTCTTCAGGGGCCTTAAACTATCCTAGTGGAAGTACAGTGGCCTTCCAAAGGTCCACCTCCCTCTCATTTCTACTCTTGCTCCATCCAATTTCTTTCTTTGCATCCAGTCTTTGTGATCCTTTCCCTCATACTAAGTTTCCCCCACCCACCCACTTGCTCACTCCACTCTGCCTTCTTCTGGGCCAGAGATCCCTCCAAAGTCTACCATTTCTATACAGCATTTTCACTAGTTGCACAAGATGAGGAGCCAGACACGGAGAAGATTCCAGAGAACATGCTGAATATCAGAGGAATCACCATGCACTATTCTTCACAGAAGTAAGGTACAATGTGTGTTTGCAGGATGCTCCACGTACAAACAAAAAGGTTCACAAAGTCACTTACGCATCTAGTATATGTGCTGGGGTGAACCTGCACACCAGCAGTTACCTCATACCTCTCACCAAGAGAGCCACCAGATACACATCAGGCTCAGAGAGCCCACAGTTGTTAAGCCCCTTAAGGACTTATGCTTCTGGTGCAGCAATTTGATACTTGTAATAAGAAAACATGGACACAACATCCTCCAGCCTCAAGGGGAACCAGCTTTCACTTTGGTCTCCTCATCCAGTCATCGTGTAGACTCACCCAGATGTCGCACTTGCCAGGGAAGAACCTCTCCGGGATGCGGGCAGCATATAGTGCAGCACCAGTGATGTACAGGCATGCCATGAGTGCCAGCCAGCCTATCTGCCCCATTGTGGCTGCTTTCAGGAGCCCCTCAGAGATGACAAAGTGCAGCGTGGGAATAACCCCACTAAGACCCAGACCTAGAAATACTCCTGGGAGGTAAAAAAATGTGGGAGAGTCAGATTTGAATGCAGTGGCGGTAAAGGGAGACAATGAAAATACAAAAACTATGGAGGAAAAAGTATTTGCCAGAGCAGCAAAACAGTGACAACTCCTGATGTTGAAGGTCCCTAAAGAGATTTACTGCAGAGGAAGTTAAAGAAGGGACAGAATTCCTTCATATACCAGAAACTACTTAGTTTTATGTTCCAGCAGATACCGAAATATTTCATTTAATTTAATGATTTTGTCAGCCAGCTTTAATGTTCATTAAGCCAATTACACATCTTGGACTGTAGAGGGCACTGAGACTACACCAACTAAGTCTCGATTGACCATAATCTCAAGAGCAAGACAAGGAGACACAAAGAGAAGATTTCTCATACACTGTACAAGTAGTCCTAGGAAACAGAAAAGTAGCATCTGAGGCTCATCTGATCTGCCATATATGAGAACATGGTTGATTAATTTAGATTTTAGCAGCAAGTTTAAAAATATTGTTAAGAAAGTGTGTGTGGGGGGGAATAACCACGTTGCTTCCAGATTTTAAGGCTGGAAGGCTGAACTCTCTGAAGGTACACCCAGCTTGTCCAGGAAATCTAGGTTTACTGTAGAGAGCATGGGAAGGTTACATTGTAAGAAACATCACTACTTGATCCAGCTGTGTTCAGATTCCAGAGCTGCCCCCTAAAGCCTTGTCTTCTTCCTACCTCAGAACATGAAACCAAATCTGGTTTTGTTCTTTTGATCTTGTAAAGAGAAATACTAAGCTCCTTATCTTAAATATGTTTTATCTAGGCAAATTATTCAGATTAATTCAATCATTAATTCAATTATTTGCTATTGTCTAAGCCTAGTGTTACAAAACCAAGACAAACAGTAGAAGGAAAATACGCGTACACACACACACCAAGCAGTCAGTCATTTTGTTGCAATAGCAAATTTGCTGGATATGGCTAGAAATACTTTGCACTGCCCTTCCTGCTGCATGTGTTACTGCACATATCAGGAATGCACTTCCAAGCCTGGCACCAGCCCTTATCTGTGTATTCAGGTGGCTACAATAAATGCTGAAAGAAAACCCATCAAGTTCCAAATCAAAAAATATTAGCTGAGTATAAAATGAAGCTCTTTTAAGTCTTCCCAAGGTAGTTTCTCCAAATAGTGAGTAGGAAGGAGGAAAGGCAGTCGAGAAGCAAAACAACTTCAGGTCTTACCTGCCCTTACAGCCCGGTATTCAGGGGTTGCAAACATGTCCCACTGTGAGACAATTATGGCTGCAATGCCCAGGACACAGATCACAATCAAGTAGATGAAGCAAGGCTGAGGGTTGCAATAGAAGGAGTAGTACAGCCATGGTACAAAGCTGCCCATTATGAGAAGTGCAATGCCAGAATAATCCAGCCTAGAAGGAAACACAAATCAGTGTGGTGAGAAATGTGAACCTTTGGAAGTCTTCAGACCAACATGCTCTTCTTTAGCAGAAGCACTGCCTACATCTCACTGCAAAATCAAGTTATTTCACTATTGCAACTTACTTCTTGATGGCAACTCTTCTACCATTATCCTCTGAGAGTAATGGATTACCTAGATAAACAACTAGTAAGGCCATTTTTGGACAGTCATCAGCAATAAATACAACAGCATTTAGATGAAAGCTTTTTGGAGGAAACTCAGATTTAAGCTTCATATGAGGAAAAAAGCATCCTAAGAGTCCTCTGAACACAAAAAATGTCACATGGTATGTTGTGAGAGCACAGCTAACACAAACACTTTAGTATCTGACAAGCATGAGCTAGTGAGGCATCAGTTTTAGTCACTACTGGGAAACAATGTCACCATTTTTCAACTATGCTGTTTTCTCATACACCAGTGAAGAAAAGAAATTCCTACAGCTGTTGCTTTTTACCACAACCAGACAAAATGCTCCTACAAGACATAGAGTTCATTTTTCAGTAGAGGATTTCAATTGCTGGGTTACTTTAGGGAGGGTCTTGCAGATTACATAATCATAGGTTGAGTAATCTTAGGAAATAGGATACTTTGCAGCCAGCCAAAAAGGAAAGCATAGTAAAAGAAAAAAAAACATCTTGATACACATTGTGGAGCTGTCTTACATAAGTCAAAGATTCAGTTACTCAAAATAGTTGAAATTATGAGAAGTCACAGTTGCATTAAAAATTCAAAGTCCTGCAACTAAGCTCTAGGTGTACTACTTACAGCAGCAAAATGCACGTTAGGAGTTTTCAGACTAAAACTGTGCAAGAACTCATGCTGAAACAATCGATAATTACAAGGCTGCATTGATTCTCTGTTCCAAAGTACATACAGTCATGCAATGAACAACTCCTACACAGAGGCTCCAGGCATAAATCCCAACGCTGTTTTCCCCACCTGTATTCTATTTGGCCTGCCCTCTCCTCTATGCACTTACTTGGAGAAGAGCCGGGAAACACCTTCTGAGTGGCAATAAACTGTGTGAAAGAGCCATGAGAAGGAGAGGCAAAGTATGGCTCCCAAAAAGAACAATCCAACAACCACTTTCTCCTGCACAGGTGCTACAAAGGACATGTTTGGCCGGAACATGTAGAAGATTCCCAGACAAAGGAAGAACACGCAACCTGAAAAACAGTAAGGCAGAAACGTGTCAAGTATATGCACACTGAAAGCTTCTCCTTCTACAAACACAGCTCCAATGTGCAGGAGCACTAAACACAGGAGCTGCACAACCAGCATCACACATGCAGAAGAAAGTACTGCCCTACTTTAGTTGTGCATTTTAATCTCATTTCTGCCTCAGACTGATCCAATACAGACTTGATGGACTCTGTATTTTTACTTGTTTTGCAAGATGCCCAACATGTACTTGGACATTCTAGAACAATAACAATTCTAGAACAACCGCAAAATGTAAAAAGAGGAGGGTATAGTTCAAAAAAACCCTTCCCCTTCAAGGCTCCTTCCAAGTTGAAAACCACTCACACAAGCTGCAACTTAAACGTGTTCCTCAGGCTATAAAGGCCATCTCAATTTAACACCTATGCACTTGGAAAAAAGAATAGCTACTGGTCATTTACTAACAATGAGGAAAAATGTATTTCCTTAATTTGTATTGAATGCCATAACTAAGGAAGTCCCATCCAAGCCTGGTGGGATAAAATTAGGAGAGGGATACCAACCTGTTAATTTAACAGGTTACTAGTGGAATGACAATGCTGATCACCCCAGACCTCTTTCTATCTTGCTCTCAAAGAAAGAGAGCAATAAAACCAATTAGCATTAGAGGAAGCTGAAAATACCTAGAAGATGTGTCCAGATGTTACCAGTCTCTGTATGTATTCTGAAGATACTCTTGAAACAAGCCCGGAAAGAAGGCATGGGTGGTCTGTGTCCATGCAACAGGTAGTCGTTGTCCTTTAGCCAGTCAGGCAGTACATCATGGGGAATGACTCTCCATCGGCCCTCCCATACCTAGAAGTTAGAAGATTTTAGGTAAATGCAGGGAATTGAGTTCCACTGATGTATGGCACAAGTCAAAAAACCCGTATTAGTAAAAGTGTTGATCTAATCTAAACAGAAAAGGCTTGATGGGACATCTCTGGGGAAAAGGCTTCAGACTTGAAATACAATACTTATGTCACCATATCCTATTCAAAATAGTACCATTATGAAGCTGAGCTGCACCATCAGATAAATGATTACTTCAGCATTTCCTTGAACAGGAAAGCTACTGGGCATTTTCACTACTAATGAAGGGAAAGCACTTCATTAATTTCCATGTTCTATTATTTTTCACAGATCATCCTTTCCACTTCACTGAAGAAGCCTACACCTTGTTTTCTCCCAGAAATAAGTAAAAGTCAGTTCTTCCAATCACAAGCTAGTCTGAGTGTGTATCTGGTAGCATCTGGGGTAGTTTAGCAAAAAAGCTATTCATCAGCACTAATATGGATCAGAGAAGATCAAGTGGCAAGAGTCCTGTGAGAAGTGTCCAATCCCTTATCCAGGTTGGAAAAAAACTGCTCCCACACTCCCAAAACAAATGGTGACAGATCAGTTAAGGTAACAGATCCATGACTCTCAATTCCATCAGATTTCTTCTTCAAAGGGAAAAAGACCATATGTGCACACTACTATTCTTGCAGCTGGTTCCAAATGAAAAAAGCGTGTACAGGTGTTCTTAGTGCCGCTTCAGTAGCATAAGGTACAAGAAGTCTTCAGCTTGGCTTCAGAAGCAGCACTGCCAAGCAGAGAGGTATCTGGGAATGCTTTATGTACCGGGGTTGTTTCTGCAGTGTTCCTTGGGTTTGTCGTCTGGCTAGCAATACAGGAGCAAGCTTGAAGAATCCTGAAACACTAAGTTTAAAAAGCTTATATTCTTATATCAGTTTCAACAAGAGCCCAGAGTTTTTAAACCAATTCTCCACAGTCCTTTATGGAAGCAAAAGGAAACTCATCAGAATGACCAACCCAGTTAAAGATTGGGTGTTTACATACATTAAATAAGAAAATAGTATTTACTCCATGAATCAAAAATTTGGAATTCAGGTAGGAACAGCAGGAAGGAATTATTTTTACACAATCCACCCTACAGAACATCTTAAATGGGAAAAAGATGCATAGTAAAAAAAAAAAATAATCAACAAAGCAACCCACACACAAAAGAAGAATAAGTAACTAGGGTTCCTCTGCAAAAACATCAAAGAATCATTCATAAAACCAGCAGGAGCAAGTGTATAGGAAGCAGCACTCCTTTTACCTTGAAAGGAGGGCCTGAGACTGATACAGCCCCCTGGCTTTTAAAAGTAGAAAAAATTGAGCCAAGGTCAGCAATTGCAAAATCTACGGTGGATTAACTTAGATATAGTTGTTTGAACACATTTTTGTTTCCTTTTCAAATAAGGGACAAAGCTTATTCTACAATGGAGGTAAACGGTGCTGGAAAAGCAAAATATTTACAAGTCTGAAGAAACCTGGAAAAAAAGACCTTGTAAATGAAAGTGCCTTGAACCAGAAGGCTTTTATTCTGCTTTGCACTCACAGGTGTTTCTCAAGAGACTCCTCAGTTGCACAATCAGCTTTAGAGTTTCATTCGTAATCCCTGTTCCATGCTTTACAAAGTATTTGTTCCTGACAGATTGAGGTCCTGAGAAGCTGCAGTGTTACTAGTTGTAACATACTAGTTATAAGAGAGGCTCATTCAGAGATGGTCTGTACCTGCTCTCCCTCATATTAGTAGTGCAGCTGCTACAGGTATAGTCTGTTGCCCACTGGAGGTACCTAAAACCAGTAACTACTTCAGCACTTTGCATGTGCCCTTACCTTGCACACAAATTCTTCCATTCTCTCCATAGCATGGTGGGCTTGTAGAAGAGGTGACATACCCATAAACCCTTCGTCTTCTTGAGGTGACTCATCATTGTGTTGATATTCCTCAGAACACTGGGAGGGGAAAACCAGAAAATGCTTTGTAGAAAGGTGAACAGTTAAAAGGGACTTTGTTTTCCATACAAACTTGTGATTTTTAAGGCTTGGCAAAGAAAGAAATCTTTCCTTGTATGGCACTGAGAAGAGAATTCAAAAGAACAGCAAAAAAAAATTATAAAATTCTTAGGTATGTGAGAACAGTTCACACATCTAATCCATTTTGCACGTTTTCACCAGGTTTGGAAGAAAGCAGTGTTCTTCTGTAAGTTATGCTTCATTAAAACCCAGATATGGAGTCTGAGTCTTGCAGACTACCCACCTCTAGGGAAGGCTTACCTCCTATTTTATGTTTCAATGTCACTAATGCCTACCTTAATGCCTCTATAACATATTTGGCATTTTAGGATAATAAAGGCAAGCTGAAAAGAGCCTTTTGTACCCTTCAGGCTTGATGCAAAAAGCTGTCCCACACCTCACAACCAACCCAAGAAAGCTCCACAATCTGTATGGAGACTGGTTTCCTCTGTATTACACTTTCCCTCCTATTCCCATATCAAGGTTAACAACTTTAAAATAAAGATTACTAATCAGTAATGCCATCCAAAGCAACTGAGACTCTGGTATATAACCTCACATACTTTACAAATTATCATAATTAATGTTCAGGTTAATGTCCTGAACTTTGAGTCAGATCTGGCTGGGTATTCATCCCACAAAACAGCTCTCTCCTTAGAGTAAGGCCTTATTAACTATTTCCATCAACAAGCTAACTCAACAAGCTGCTTGGAATTTTTATTTAATAAATAAAAGGAGACATCTTCCAATCTACAGTGAGCTTTCTAGATCCTTCAAAATTTTGTTGCTTTTTCTGAGAGAAATGACATGCTTATATTTGATTTTGAACCCAAGGCTTGCAGTACCCACTGAAGTTTCACCTTTTGAAGGGGTCCCCCATCACAGTTCTTGACCCAATTTTGCTGCAGAGTGCAGATCCCTGATACGTAACACACAGTAAACATCCTTTGCCTTTTATGTATGACTTCACATTTGTCCACACTAGGACAGTTATATTAACTAAATTAATCTTTGAACATAATCCATGTCCCTTGCACTGTATACTCACCTTCATTTATCATTCCAGCCAATATCCACTGAGCAAGTCTGGGCAACTGTTTCATATTTTATAGCAGATGATTGATATAAATATTGATCAGCTCTAGGCAGATCCTACAGCAGTATAAGACAGTATTAAATACATTCTCACTGTCTAGCTTATCCCATTAATTCTACTGAGAAAGGAATCAGGCAATACCGAGATGTAAACAGGTTTAAGATTTTTCTAAAGCAGGCACATGTCCTGTTGGACCAAAAAGTGCATTAATAAAACACAAATTTGGTTTCATTCTGACTCAGTGACACTCACTGACATTATTTCACACACTGTCAATTTTACTGGCTTTTTCTACTAATGGATCTCTCCGGTTAGGATTCTCAGTTTTCAGTATTATAAATAATTAACTCAAGGTCATAGAAAGATAGAACAGTTTAGGTTGGAGGGGACCTTTAAAGACAATCTAGTCCATACCCCCTGTCTTGAGGGACTGGATAAGATGCTCATGATAGTCAGCACAATCTTGGAAATCCAAGAAATCTTACATTTCCAAAACCACACCTTATAGAAAAGCAAGACTTGTGCTTAAGCTCCAGTGTACTTGATACAAGCAGCACTGCTACGCCTTTTAGCTACCTTAGAATTCCCTCCCCCAGCACCACACAAAGACCAGATGGGATGGGGTGAACAAGTTAGTAATCCTCAATTTACAAAACTGGGTGGGGACTAAAGCAAAAAAGGTTGCTTATGTAATCAAAGCCTGTATTCATCACAGTCTACCCAATGACTCAAAGCCAAAAAATGTTCATTTCCCCCTCTTCACATACTCCCATTTCTAGAATCATGGGAAGGTTTAAATTTGAACAGACTGTAAAGCTCGAAGAGCACAGCTATTTATGAACTAGTCCAAAATCTTTGCATTTTGGCAACGTGCCTACAAACAAATCATTACTGAGCTTCTTTTAGTGATAAAAAGAATCCATATCATACATACAGTCCAGATTACTGCCAGAAAATGGAACTGATTTTACTATCTCTTTCCTGCCATTAATCTGCAAAATGAGCATTTAAGGAAAAAAAACCACACTAAAGCTTAACTTCTTAGTCCTTTTCTTGCTAAGGAGGCCTGTTCTGGAATGCCTGTCCTCTCTTGACTCCATCCCATAATGTCCCATTAGAAAGAACAGTAAATTGTGCTCCTTGGAAGCTGGAAATCTATAGTTGGAGTACAACACAAATGCCAGTTTTCATCAGAAATCTGAAGAAGTCCACTGGCTTTCAATTCTTCTGACAACAACTGAAGGAAAAAACCCATCACTTTTATGTTCAAAAGGTATCTTGTGGTAAAAACTCCACTGTGACAGGTTCCTTCTTACCTTAGGATTCCTGTATTATTTCTTCTAGCATGTAGCAATATAAGCTTTGGAACCTGTTTTTAACTATTTCTAAGTTCTGCCTGCAGAATAACATTTTCAAATGGGAAACATATTGGGTAAAAAAGTCTCACCTGCTGAGCACCATGGAAGAAATGAGTGCCCAGAACAAAACTCCAATACTCCCACTTTTAAGGCAGCATGGTATATCCTAAACCAAGTGCTTCCAGTATATCTTCTGATTTTGTACCTTCTACATCATAGGCAAAAATAAAAATGTTTTTCATTTGGCTAATGTTTCAGATGTTCTTTAACATAATCTAATTCACTCAATCTTTTTTAAAAAGCAGTCTCAGATTTTTACCAATTAAATTACAATTCTGTGAAGCCTTCAGAGCATTTTGGAGTATCTTTCAATAAAAATCCCATTTTCGCTTGTAAGAAGCCAACTCGTTGCAATCATCAGCTGTCATTCTGCTGCACATATGCAGCAATGTGTAGAATCAGTCTTTCATACAGATCAGAAATCATGGCTTCTGTATCCTTACACCCTAGAGGGTCTGGACATTTAATTGTAAGGAAATGCCAAAAAAATCCTTCCAATTTTAATCCTACCCACTTTGCAAATTCAGAGAGTGTTAAAGCTATCAACAAACACAGTACAGATACCTAATGAGATGGAAATCATACAACAGAAGTATGAACACATCCCAAGTTGAAAAATGCTACCAGAGAATAAACTAAACCTGAAGGACAAGTGACAATGGCCAGAAGAAAATAGTTTTACTGGTCTATCCATACTTACTTTGTTTTAGGATGTTTTGCAGATTCTTTTGAGAGAACAAGAAGGTAAAAGAAAGAGGCAGAAATAGACTTAATTATACCACTTTGAACTGAGTTCCAGGCAACAGACTTCAAGGGACAGATCATCTTCTAAACAAGAATTTCAGAGTGTGCTTTGGTGTAGGGAGAGAGGTTTAATGCCAAAACCAAGACTTAGAGCAAACAAAAGCAAGAAACCTGAGAGCTCAATTGCACAGTGTCCATCGTTAAATAAGTTTATTTTAACATTAAATTAAAAAAAGTTTACATTTAGTACAAGAATTTGCTGCCTGAATTGAATCCAAAAAAGATCACATAGCCAACAACCCTGCTACAGACAAAACTGCAGTAAAACCTGCCCCAGTAAATGCAATATACTTCTCTTGTCTACTTCAACAGCTTATCCTTCTCATATAGATTAACAGTTTTTTATGCTATTACTCTCAAATCTGTTAACAGATACATTGTTTATTAATGCCCTTACTATGGAAAAGCCTGTCAGAAGTCAAGTCACAGCAGCAGAAAAAGATTCCAGAAACCCATTTCCTACTTTTGAGAGATTTGTGTTCTCTGGACTTCAAGTGGTAAAGTGGAGTTGCTTGAGGTCTGCGGTTTCTTGATGTCAGTTTATAGATTTCTAGACAGTTTGAGATTTTGCACATGACTATGACTTGCACAGGTGACAAGCAAGCTCTTGTTCATTGCTTCAGATTGCAATTTTGCTAGAAAAGGTCATTGATCTGTGTACCTTAGAGTGTGCAAAATGAAACACAAGTCAGGCTTGAAGAAGCCTAAGAAGCTTACTCTGTCAAAAGTGGTCCTCTTCTCCCTCAGCCCATCCCCATCTTCCTTTACACTGCTTTTGGCACTCCTCTTATCCTTAGGTTGATTAGCTTACTAATCTGGCAGAAATTACACAAATTTTTGCCAGGTGAGCTTCCTCTTATATAATAAAGTTGCTTCAGGAAACCAGGAGATTTAAGGAGCTCAAGCTACTGAAAGAAAAGCAAAGGGAGGATCAGCTCCTATTTTACTAAAATCCATTACAGAATACTTTCTGAGAGTCATGTACAAGGTCAAGTTCCTTTTCAAGGCATATCAGTTGGATGCCAAATGATCTGCAGTCCCCCTTTTTGTAGTGTTCATCAGTTAAAAAAGCACTTAATCATCTAGCTAGTCTCCCCCTTTTTGTAGTGTTCATCAGTTAAAAAGGCACTTAATGGACTAAGCAAATTTAAACTAATGATCACACTAATAGGCTGCTGTACTCTCAAAAATTCCAGCAGTTTCTGGGATTGCACCTTCAGAAATCTGACAGGTTTTGTTGGCTGCATATATATGGTATTTGATGCAGAACCAGAAGGGCACACATTAACCAGTAACACCAGGAACTTCAATACAAGTCTCCTAAGACAGAGAAAGGGCAGAACTTTTCTGTGTTAGGGTTACTTTTTGGACAGAGTCATCATTCAGTTACTTGAGGGCCTAACTGACCGTGCACATACCTACGTAGTATTAAGCACTGGAGTTAATGAAGTCCCATGCTTCAAAGCTCAACTGTTTGTGATGCGAGTTCACCCTCAAGACACCACCAGTGCCCCAAAGCTACCATCACTAGAATTTTCAAAGAGCGATGCAGCCTGAGTACGTTCTAATGTTCTTGCTGCTTCCTTCAGCTGTTGATAGATGCTCCCCCACTCTCTTCTTGA